CAACCTGCCCCCGAAAAAGAACACATCGGCATGATCTTCGGCGGACCCGAGGGTGGAGATTCAGCCGCGCAGCGGAAGAACTGGGTCCGGAGCATTTACGTGGGAGAAGTAAGTGCTGAACCGCCCAGGCGTAAACATACTAGGAGGGAGCCAATCGTCTTCACTGACCGGGATCTCCCTCCTACCGGTGAAGATCACAGTGATCCATTGGTCATCACCATGGATATTAATGGGGTAGATGTCGCCCGGGTACTTGTTGACACCGGCAACAGTGTCAACATCTTATACCTGGAGACCTTCCAAAAACACAGGTTGTGTCGAACACAACTTGAACCCCTCAAAACCCCTCTCTCAGGCTTCACGGGGGATACTGTTGAAGCCGAAGGATCCATAGTTCTACCGGTCGAACTACGATCAGGTGAAAAGACCGTGTGGAAGAAGATGCGGTTCATAGTTGTGGACATCAAGTGCGTCCACAACGCAATCCTAGGAAGGCCATGCATTAATAAGGTCGGGGCGGTGATTTCCATGCCTCATCTATGCATGAAGTTCCACACTCCAGGTGGTGTGGGTGAGGTGAAGGGCGACCAGAGGAACGCCCGGGAATGCTATGACCGGGCAGTTAAGAAAATGACCAAGGGGGTCAATGTCATCTCCCAAGAGATCACAAAGGGAGAGACCCGGGAGAAACTGGAACCCGAGGCTGAGACGGTGGAAATCGAACTTTACCCAGGTGATTTTTCGAGGATGGTCAGAATTGGAGCAAATCTCCCCGAGGATCTCAAGGAGCAGATTACACGGGTCCTCCAAGAATACGCGGGCATATTCGCATGGAGCGTGGCGGATATGCCCGGGATAGATCGCTCTGTTATCTGCCACCGGTTGGCCGTGAGGGAGGGAAGTCAACCGGTACGCCAAAAGAAGCGGTACCTGGCCAGTGACCGGCGAGACTTCGTCAAGAAGGAAGTGAAAGACCTCCTCAGTGTTGGTCACATCCGGGAAGTCAAGTACCCGGATTGGCTGGCCAACGTTGTTCTTGCTCCCAAGGGCGACACGTGGAGAATGTGTGTGGATTATACGGACTTGAACAAGGCTTGTCCGATGGATTCATACCCCCTCCCCAGTCTAGATCAAATGGTGGACGAAACTGCGGGGTGCGAACTCCTAAGTTTCATGGATGCCTTCAAGGGTTACCACCAAATATACATGGCCAAGGAAGATGAAGAGAAGACATCATTCCTCACACCCGAAGGAACCTACTGCTACCGGGTAATGACGTTTGGCTTAAAGAACTCGGGGGCAACCTACCAGCGCATGGTGAACAAGCTCTTCAAGCCACTACTGGGGAAGACCATGGAGGCATACGTCGACGACATGCTGATCAAAAGCCAGGTATCTCTGAACCACCCGGCTGATATGCGAGCCACGTTCGATATCATGGCAAGGTACAACCTCCGGCTGAATCCTAAGAAATGCGTCTTCGCGGTTCGTACCGGGAAGTTCTTGGGATTCATGGTGACCAAGAGAGGGATAGAGCCCAACCCAGAGAAAATCCGGGC